CTCTTCCCGACAGGTTTGATCGATCTGCCCAAGCCATGACCTCCTAGGTCGTCCACAGGCCTCCTCCACCCAGGGTTGTCTCTTACAGAGACAACCTGATGAGCAGGATCAGCCTCTGGAAAGCGAGCCAGGTGGCCATATAGCCTGAGTTGGCGATCCCGGATTGTGCAGGTAACAGGTCCTGTGCCAGTCTCACGGTGCTGCCGTTGGTTAGACACATGGTCCCGCCAACAGTACCCCATGATCCGGCACAAGGACCTATTACAAAAGGCTTCAAGACGAGACTCCAGGGCACTGGATAATGTCCAGGTTTCACTACCATAGAGCAAAACTGGCATTATCAGGGCCTTGAAAACCCGTAGCTTGGTCCTGCACAGGTGCCAGCACCTCCAAATACTCTTGTCGAGAGAGTTCATGACCCCTGTTGCCAGGCCAATCCGTCTGCTGACTTCCTGGTCTGACAGCCCAGAGTTATGAACTGCACTACCAAGGTATGTAAAGCTTTCTGTGACTTCAATGTCTTTGCCGCAAGCACCTACCGAAGGAACAGGTTCTCCTAGCAAGTCTCCAATGTCCTGGATCTTGGTCTTGGACCAGGAGACCTCTAGACCCAAGGGCTTTGCTTCATTACTAAATGCATCGAGAGCCACCACTAGGGTTTCCAAAGACTCAGATAGAATAGCAACATTATCGCAAAGTCAAGGTCTGTAACCTTAATATTACCTAGTGTTGCTCCACAATGACTTTTAGTAGCTCTGCCTAGTATCCAGTCCATGCAAGTGTTGAAAAGTGTTGGTGCAAGAACACAGCCCTGCCTCACTCCTGAACTGACAGGAAAGAAGCTTGACAGGCCCCCACCACACTTTACAGCACTTTCAGTACCAGTATACAGGTTTGCTATTAATTCAATAATCCTTGTTTCGAATTCCTCTCAGTCTCAGGATCTCCCAGATTGATTCCCGATGCACTGTGTCGAACGCCTTCTTGACGTCGATGTAGGCTGCAAGCAGCCCACGTCCGAACGTCGGCGCTCTACAATGACTCGAAGCGCAAGGATACGGTCTATTGTGGACTTACCAGGAGTGAATCCAGATTGCTCTGGCCTCTGATGCCTAGTAGATGGTCTCTAATACGCCTCAGAAGGATGTGGGCAAGAACCTTGCCTGGTACACTGAGCAGTGTGATGCCGCGGTGATTGCTGCAGTCCCATCGATCCCCCTTCCCCTTCCAGAGAGGGATGACCACGCCCTTCAACAGGTCAGAGGGAACGGTACTGTACTGCCAGATGGCAGCCAGGACAGCATGCAATCCCCGCGCCATAGGTTTACCACCAGCCTTTGATAGTTCAGCTGGGATGCCACAAATACCCGCTGCATTACCACTCCAGCTTGGAGATCGCCTCCCTAACTTCAGTTAGAGAGGTTGGGTCCTCGCTAATGGGTGGGTCCGGTAGAGGAATCACGGCACTACCCACATCCAAGTTAACTTATGGAGGGTCAACCTGATACAACTGTTCAAAGTACTCAGCCCAACGCTCCCGCACCGCAACAGGATCTGAGACAATCTGGCCACCTACTAAGCGAACTGCAGTCACTTGTGAAGAGGGCTTAAAATTCAGTTTTCTCAGGGCTTGGTATGCAGGACGAAGGTCATTTACTAAGAAATGGCCTTTGACCTCCTCAGCAAGACCTAATAAACTGTTCCTTGTCCCTTCTTAACAAAGACCGAGTTCTGCGCACCTGAGAACGGTGCAAATCCCGATCCCCTGCCAGACAAGCCGCACGGCAAGCATCTGTGACTTCCAGTGTCTCCTGAGAGATTGAATTCTGTCTTGCTCTCGGGCCTTCTCCAATCGATTCTTGGGGCTGCATCAAACGTCTCACACTTGAAGGTGTCCCACAGAAGTACAGGGTCCATCAGATTGTCAAGTGCTGTAAACCGATCAGAGATTGTCTCAGCAAATCTCCGAGCGCACTCCCTCTCTTTCAGCCTGTCCAGATGAAACACCTTAGGGTGGTCACTGGGCCGCTGGGGAGTTTTGAAGTGAACCCTGAGGGTAGCCACAACCAATCTATGGTCAGTACCACAGAACTCGGCACTCCTATACACCCTGCAGTTCTGGAGGATCCTCCAACGAGTGCTAACGAGAATGTGGTCGATCTCCTTGGTTGCATTACTCGTATCGCTGTACCACATCCAACGATGTGGGTCTGGGCGCTGGTACCAGGAGCCAGAAATCCTCAATTTCTGAGATCTTGCAAAATCCCGGAAAAGGAGGGAATTTTCGCTGCCGGTATCAACTCCCGAACCATGAGGACCGACTAACATCTCATAGTGAGCTCGATCGCATCCAGATACCACACTGAAGTCACCCAGAACAATACGAATATCTCGCTGGGGACAACTGTCTGCCACAGATGCAAGTTTGGCGTAGAACATCTCTTTCACGTCAAGTTTACAAACATCGGTAGGAGCGTACACAGCAATAAGAGACATGAAG